CCACATTCTCTTTCATGATGCCACGCTCTCCTTGTGGCTGACTTTGGAATGTTCACAAATATCCTCTCTCTCTCTGCTCCCAGAGGACCACACTCTCTCTCACCCCTTCGAAGGTCAGACTTGGCCATTTGATGAGGCAGCTCATGCTTAGCCACACTCTTTTCTGTCTGCCAGGTCATCCATGTGACTGCTCTGTTGTCCCTGGGTCCTGGCAGGAGGGTGTTGATAATGGGGACAAGCAGCATGAGTTAGAAATAAGCTCTGGTTGTCTGTCATTTCTGTATAACCCAATCTACTCTGAGCTGATAGCCCTCCCCACCAAAAGGATGAAGTAACAGAAAAAAAAATGTATTGGTCTTTGCCCCTGATTCCTGACACAGAGCTCCTAAAACTTGTGTCATTTCCTACGCGATGAGAGCGCATCTTTTGTTCTAACGAGGTGACTCTGGGTGGTTCCTGAAATGGGGATTGGTCATTAAGAAGACCAAGCCATGGTTAGAAGCTTGGAATTTTCAGCCCCACCCCCATCCTCCAGAGAAAGGAGAGGGCTGGAAATGGAGTTAATCATTGATCGTGCTTATGTGAGGAAGCCTCCATAAAATCCTGATAGCATGGGGTTCTTGGAGCTTCCGGGTGGGTGCACACATCCATGCTGGCAGAGTGGGCACCCCAATGCCACTGGGACAGACGCTCTCGTGCCCCCCACCCTTCTGGACCTCAACCCAGGCATCTCTTCATCTGGCTGTTCATCTGTATCCTTTATCATATCCTTTATTATATGATCAACCAGTAAATGTAAGTAAGTGTTTCCCTAAGCTCTGTGAGCTATTCTAACAAATGACTGAATTTGAGAAGAGGGTCATGGGAACCTTTGGTTGCCAGCCGGTTGGTCAGAGGTACAGGTGACAACTTGGGACTATCAACTGGCAGCTGAGGTGGAAGAGGCAGTCTTATGAGACTGAACCCTTAACCTGTGGGGGTCTGTGCTAACTCCCATTAGTGTCAAGCTTGAACTGAATTGTACAACGCCCAGCTGGTGATGCAGAGAATTGCTTTGGTGTGGGGGAAAAAACTCACACATCCTAGAATTCTTGTGAGTGTGGTAGGCGTGCGAGAGTAAAGGAGAGACAAAGGAGTGCTTTTCCCAGGCATCTGGGATGGCCCAGCTGTCCATATACCCCTCCCCTGGTCAGGCCCGGGCCAGACGAGCAGGAAGCTTCCAGGTCACCATCTTCCAGAAGACCATGGCTCAGAGAGGACATCGCAAGGCTTCCCTGAATCTTCCCTGCAGGACTCGTAACAGCAAGTCACCTGGTGGACGCACACTGGGACCCTGGAGAAGGGCTTTCCAAACTGCAGGTTGTGACTCACGGTCAATAGACTATTTTATAGATCCCAAACAGGATTGTATGTTTTTAATGAATTAGAATGAAATAACAGCACATCCCAGAACAGAATAGAAGACATCAGAGGAATATCACGTGTATAAGGGTCAGTATTATTTTGTGAAGCATTTGTTTTATTTACTTATTTATTAACTTTTTAAGAATCTTCTTTCTTTCTTTTTTTCCCTTAAAAAAATGGAGGTACTGGGGATAGAACCCAGGACCTCCTGCATGCTAAGCATATGCTCTACCACTGAGCTATTACCCTTCCCCTAGCATTTGTTTTAGAGTCACTTGCAAAATGTGTTCTTTACCATGGATCTTGGTGAATAAAGCTCAGAACTGTTTTCTTGTGATGGGTGTACTGTTCTCTCTCACATGTCCTTGCATTTTCTCTGACTCTCTGCGAGGAATAGGGATTTGCTTTATAATTGGTTTTTTAAAATATTGAAAGAGAAATAAAACGGGGACTGGATGGTTAAAAAAATCATTTTGGATCCTCATCAGAAGAGCACGTGCATCCACGTTGAGTCTCAGGCTTGGTGGTGGGGGAGGACCACATACAGGCTGACTTCTAGGGTCGGGCAAAACCATACTCTCCCTGAAGCTCAAAATTTGGATCTGTCACATGGAGAAGGAGGAGGAGGAAGAGAAGGAAGAATGGAAGGAAGGAAGGAAGGAAGGAAGGGAAGGAAGAAAGGAGCTCTAGCTACCCAAGGAACCTAAGGGAAAATGCTGCTTGTCGTGACTCCAGAGTGTTTTCAAGCCACACTTTCCTACATCTGTCTCCTGTCCTGGGGAGTCCAGCCAGTGGAGCCCATCTTCCTCAGGAGAAAGAAAAATCAAATTTTGGGTGTCCTATTCTGTATTTGCATGGAGAATAAAGGTACACAATGTCTATGAGCAGAATATTAAATTTGAGTGATGGAGTACAGTAGTGGGGTAAAATAGAATTTGTTTCCTCTGAAGCACAGGTGGAACCTCACTGACCTGGGCAGCACCCACCTCTCCCTGAAGCACCAGGCAGGGTGTGCTCACAGTTCTTGGGGATCTCTGACCTCAGACCAGCTGACCCTTCATACTCTCCTTCCTGGCACCCTGTCCCTCCGATGGCTGGGATAGCCCTAACATGGCCCAGGTCTCCCTTGCCTCCTTACTAGCGTCTTTTCTCCCTAACCTGTCTCTCTGTCTTCTTCTTTCCCCACTACCACCAGACCCTGCTTCTCCCTCCCTGCATGCTCCTTCTCTGGGGTTCCCTGTCTTGGAAAAATGACTTCACATCGTTTACCCTGAGATTTGGGGCAGAACTCAGAGCTTATTCAAATCTCTCCTCATCCCTCCCAAATACATGCCTACCGTCCTAGGTGTCTCTGAAGACACAGTGAGTTCCAAGCCCAGCCCTTCCTGCACATGCCAGGTGCAAGAACTCTGGCGAGAAGCTTGACATCTGTCTGTGTCTCCACCTCTCATCTATAAGACCTCTCCATAGCTATATGTAACATCTATAATGATGGTAGTGTCTACACTCAAAGGTTGGTTGTGAAGATAAAAGGGAGAATCCATATGAGATGCTTAGCATCGGCCCAGGCACTTGGCAAACACAAGATGAATATTAATTACACTTTCTATGGTTATTATGGAAGGTGGGCTGAGAGGGCGAGACCCCAGTGGATCAGACCTCCCTCATCCTGGTCCTGCAGACGTTCTTGGCCTGGCATGCAGACTCCTGGGCCTGGGACCTGTCTCCCACAAAGGTATGAGCTCAAGTGATAAGATGTTATTTGTCCCAGAGGATCAGGTGAGGATCAGGTGAGGACTCAGGTAAATTGGGGATGCCTTTGCTCCACAGTCCCTTAGGAACTGGCTGTGCAGGGAGGGTTACCCCTATGAGGAAAGCTCTGCTTCAGGGAACATACTGGTGAGAGAGGGTTTAGGTGGGTGTGTACATCTGTCCATACGACCGGCCATGCCACCTTCCCCACCTGTCTGTCATGGCCCGCGTCAACTCCCAGGTCTAGAGTTCCACAGAGCGGTGATTCTCTCAGGCATTACTCATCATCCTCCCATAGCAAAGTCCTCTTTAAAAAAAATTTTTTTTTGAAGTAGAGTTGATACACAATGGTGTGTTAGTCTCTGGTGTACAGTATAGTGATTCAGTTTTTTATATATATATGTGTGTGTATTATTTTTCATAATAGATTATTATGAGCTATTAAATATAGTCCCCTATGCTATACAGTAGACTTTGTTTTTTATTTTATATATAGTAGTTAGTATTTGCAAATCCCCAACTCTCAATTTATCCCTCCCCCTCCTTTCCCACCCTGGTAACCATGTTTGTTTTCTATGTTTGCAGGTCTGTTTCTATTTTGTAAATAAGTTCATTTGTGTCCTTTTTTTTTTTTAAGATTTCACATATAAGTGATATCATATGGTACCATAGCAAGGTCCTCTTTGGTGGGTCTTCTGCCCCCGAGGGCTTTAGGGGACCCGAGCCCAGGCCAGGTCCCAGGGCTGCCGTGTGGACAGTGATCCTACGACCCTGCAGCTGTCATTGGGTGTCCGTGGGAGAAGGTAGACCCAATTCTGGCCCAGGAACCGCAGCTCGAGGCTGGAGCCACAGTGACTGGTCAGAGTCTAAGGAAAGACTTGATTCTCGCCCCTCACCAGGAACCAATCATCTGTCGGTTTATGGTTCCTCCTGCCTTTGATTCAAATCTACTGGAGTGAGGGGAGGGGTCCAGAGGTGGGATGAAGACAGAGGTAGGGGAGATGGAGGCTTTGGCAGGAGGAGAGCCTGGAGGTGAAAGAAATGGGCCGTGGATGGTCAAAACAGTGCAATACTGCCTCCATCTGGGGCTGGTGTTTGACGTCCCATGCAAGTCACCTTGAATCTCCATGGGCGGCCTTAATGTTCCCCAACACACACGGTGGTTTGTTCTAGAAGAGATTCCTCTCTTCCCTTCCCCAGAGCTGACTGTTCCATCCTGTGGCCTGCAATGGGATGTCTGGGAGAGGACTGTCCCATTCTTAACACCTCATCCCCACCCCAGCCCCCAAGCCCTTGGTTGTGAGACCCTTGATGGGAAATTTCATGCCTCTGTCCAGTAGACTTTTCCATCTGTTGCTCCCTTGCATCATGGCTAAGTGGACTCTTCCATTCCTGTCCACCATGTGCCCCACAGCAGACCTCTCCTTTCCTAGTCCTCCATGTTCTCCGATTGACAGTTTCATCTCTGTCTCCTCCTGCAGACTCCCAAACGGACTGTCCCAGCCCCTGACTCTAAAAGCTTATGGAGAACAAAGGCCAAGGCGTCCATCCACCTGCAGAATCCTGCCCCGGGATCGGGGTGTACAGTATCCATCAAAATAAAAACTAGAAACAACCCCCACCTAGAATGTCAGCTCCACGTGTGTGGAGAGTTTTTTATCTTGTTCCCTGATGTCTCTCTAGCACCTAGAACGGGACTCAGCACACAGTACAAACCCATCAGGTGTTGGGTGAATGAACCCTTTGACACAGCAATTCTCCATCGAAAAATGTGTGCATTAAAGAAACACTCACACACGTGCACAGGGTTGTGTGCACAAGAATGAGAGGAACAAACAGCCAGGGAAAGTTTGCAAATGTTTATTCTTTGTCAATGACTGACTCAGGCTAAATGAACAACAAAAGTTTGTAACTTGGAGCATCCAATGAACAGTGAGAGAGACTTCTTCAGGACACGCTGCTAATGGGGAAAAGCAGGTAGGAGATGCTCACTGTGGTACCGTGTGTGTGTGTGAATGTAGAGAAAAACATGTGGAATCAAACACCCAGAACTGTGCTCAGTAACTGTCGCAGCTGGAGAGTGAGAGGTTAGTGCTGTTCTGTGCAAAGACTACTTAACAATACTTGCTTTTTTTTTAAAGGTATAGATGCATGAATACACAGAAATAGGCATTAGGTATATATCTTGCTTATCAACAAAATTCTAACATCTAACAGAACGCTTAACACAGTAACAAAAATCAGGTTTAACTTGTCATTGTTGTGAACTCCTTCTTTCACTTTCTAGACCTGATGGCCAGGAGTTCACAGCCATGCCCATGCTCATGAAAGGCCACCAGGTTCTGCTTCTTATCATGGGCACTTGTCACATCCCTGGGGCTGAGGCAAGGAAAGAAAAGGAAAGTAAGTGGCGGTGAGCTCCAATTGACTGAGAAATTACTACTCATCTTCTCCTTGGGAACTACACGGCCCTGCGCACTCTGATGCTACCCTCCCTCATGATCCACACGCATCCCCCACTGCTCCTGGAGGCAAACCTTCTGTTCAGTGACTCCCCTACCTGCTCTCTGAGTTTCTAGGCATGGCTTACACATCAGGAGCTAACCTGGGCTTTGGGAGCCCACAGCCTCCTGAGCAGGGAAGATCTCTGGCAATTCAGAGCAAGGGGGTAGAAAAAGCCTGAGAAACCTCCTCATTTAGCCTCAGAGCTACACCACAAGGGACCAGGAGAGAGGAATGATGTGTGGAGCCAGTGACAAGATGGGCTACCGGTACAGGACATTTTGCAGGGATACGAGGATGGACTGGAGGGTAACTTACAGAATTAGTCATCTTCCTCAGGATCGCTGATCTCCTCATAGATCACGCGGTACTTTCTTTCACGCAGTCTGTTGGCCCAGACTTTAACTCTCTCTATCTTGGGTCCTATGGTGAAGAAGAACTGGTAAACGAGGGTCGGGTGAGTGGGGGAGGGTTGGGCCCTGTTCTGTCAGATAAGGAGATGCCTCCTCCCGCCCAAGTGGCCACAGGCTTTCTCCATAGTCTGTTTTCCATACCTTCTGGCTCAGGGAAGCTGAGATGTTAGACCTGTACCAACACATACCCAATACACACCGTTCGCCATTCAGGGTTTTCGCTTCCAGCTCCTTCCATTGTCAGGTTTAGATTCTCAACCGCTTTATTTACCAGAACATTCATTCAGACCTTCTTTCATTCTGCATTTATTTGTTAAGGGCATATTGAGTGTCAGGCATTGAGCTGAGGGTAGGCATAAAGTTCTGAGTAAGATATGTTCCCAGGGTATCCCAGACAGAATGACCCGAGCACCGAGCCTTCTAGATGTAATTGGACACCTCTGAAAAATCTGTGAACTATGATGCTTTACTTTCGTTTTATGGACTGGGAATTTGGAGCTCAGAGAATTTGGAAGACTTCCCCCTCGGTTACCTGAATTCATGTTGATGACAACTCAAGTCTCTGACTCTGGAAGTCATGTTCTAATGTCTCAGCGGGAGCTGAGCGAGCTTGCCAGTCCAGCCTGGACCCAAGCCTGTCCAGGACCCATCTCCCACGCCTACACCACACACTTGAACATGGCCAGGGAAGCCAGGGGAGGTGTTTCCAAACAGTTTCCTCTTACCTGGTATCTCCTTAATCTGCTGATCAGAGCTAACTTCTTGTTTCACGGGGCACAGCTGTTTCGGAGCCTGTTGTGAGCCAGATGTTTCCTTTTCACGCTTCTCAGGTAGCACCTTATTAATGTGAAGGTCACATATAAACAGTATCAATGGCATTTCTCTAGCGCTTTAGAGCTTACAAAATGTCTTCACATTCAGTGCTTTAATTAAAATTCTCAGCAACTCTGGAAGATCGTTCTATTATCTGTACCTACATTATGAGGAACTGGGAAGTTAGAAGGAAGGGAAAGGTCTAAATGAAGGGGGTTTCAAGGACTAGAAATCTCGTCTTCCAGCTCTTTCCAGACTGACTCGCAAACAGCAGAAGTCTCCACATAAGCAAGAGTGTGGTATACGGAAGATTTGGGGAAGTAGACCATTTTAAGAACCCACGAGGTCTGCGAAAGCAAGACGAGGCTTCTATAAAATATAAGGGATCGAATATAAGCTAGCGAACAGTTGAGAGTAAATGAAAAATGTACAGAGGGGACAAAAGACTGCTGGAAAATGGTGTGGGGGAGATGAACATAGGGAAAGGAGAAGAAAGGAATGGTTTACAGGAATTAGTGCAGATAGCAGGGAAAGTAGTGCCAGATGTGACCTAGCGTCCTACCCCGGCAAGCACACTTAATGTGGAATTAGGAGAGGTGGGGGAGGGCATAGCTCAGTGGTAGAGCGAATGCTTAACATGCATGAGGTCCTGGATTCAATCCCTAGTACCTCCATTAAAAATAAATATATAAACACATAAACCTAGTTATCCCCCTCAAACCCCCCAGAAACAAAGGAAAAAAAAGGGAGAGAGAATTAGGAGAGGTGGTTCCTGTACCAGCTCTACTTGTGTCAGGGTTTGTCATCGACCAACAGTCTTAAGCCATCTTTCATTCAGCGCCTTCGTTTTCATGAAACAGTAAACACGAAATGTAAAACGAGCTACAGGAAAGCACTTTCTAAGCTTGTAAAGACTGTTTAAATGTGGTAATAAGAACAATGAATGCCTCCTTTTACGATCCTCTGAATTCCCTCGACTGTGTCCATCCTGGAAATCCCACCCCAGATCCCTTCATTAAGCTAGAGTTTAATCTGCAATCATGAAATAACTTATTCAGTAAACCTCTGAGAGTCCCCCTGGGCTGGGACTGAGGCTTCAGAGATGCCTTAGGTACAGATAAAGCCCCAAAGGAGTTGACGGCAGGTAAGGGCCGGCAGTCCAAGCGATCCAAAAGGGGCCCTTTGACTGAGCAGAGGGGAGCTGGTACCTCCTGTAGTGACAGTGGGAGTCTTAACAGAAGTGACGGTAGCAACTGCGGAGTAAAACCCTAAGCCAAACGCCTGAGTTTCATAAACATAAGGAAAAGCTCATGAAATTGGAAATGGCTTGGAGGATTAGACTACTACCACTGCCACTGTGGTCTCAAGCAAATTATTTAACATCTCTGTACCACAATATCTGCACCTTTTATTATTATTAAATTTATAATTATAACCATAAATTATAAATTATATATAGTAATAATAAAAATTAAATTAACTCAATAATAATAAATTAAATAATACATACTTATTTAATATTATTTAATAACAATAATAATTATCATAAAAGAAAGTAAGTAAATATTAAATACAATTACAATAACATCCTCATTATTTGGGGACAATAATAGTAGCAACATCCTAGAGGTTTTTCCTTAAGGACAAAATTAATCCATGTGAATTGCCTAAAATAATATCTGGCATCACTATGAAAACAAAAGAATTATCAGCTATCATAATTGTTGTTGATTACTACTAAGCTATAGCTACTACATCAGGCATTGTGATAAAGTGATCAGGACAGGGAGGCAGTGAGGACCAGGTCATTTTCAGTGTTTTCCCACTTTTACTAATATTCACATCCGCGGAGAGAGAAATGGTCTCCGGTCCTTTCTACTCGGGAGGTACTCACCTTCAGTTGTTTTCTCTCTTGCATGTTGAAAACCTCCTGAGGAAACTCTTCTGAAAGGAGGTGACAAATTAGAATTTTTCTTTGTCGGTAAATATTCCCAAACTGCAGAGAGACTCCTGTAGTATCAAGGTATTCTGCAGCAGAGGGCTTTGAATCCACTCGCTGTCAAGGAGTTATTTGGAGACTGGCCTCTGGATTATCTTTAATAACAGTTTATGCATTTATGTGTGGCATCAATTCACAGTTTTCCTTCTAAAAAAGGATGGTTTACAAAATGCGAACTAAACACCATCATTGTCTCATCCTATTTCATTACATATTTCTTATTTTTGTCCCCAAAGAATTAAATTGATTGGTTGGATATCTGAACTGTGTAGAGATGTGTGGCATCCTTAACTAAAAATCACTGTATAATTAAAATGGTGAATTTTACAGTATGTCAATTACACCTCAATGAAGCTATTAAGTGTATGATGAACTATGGATGATTTAGTCCAGCGGTTCTGGAATGTTTCCAGCATAAAGACTGCCCTTTCATATCAAAAGCTTTGTAGATAATCAAACACTGGATTTTCAGCCCTCTTGCAGTAATTTTGGGAGCTTGTGGAATCTGGCCTGTTTAGCTGGAGAGTCATATAGGTCTACTGGAGACAGTCTGAACATTCTGACCCTGTCTTCTTACAACTGTGCTGTCGGAGCTGAAGACCAAGTGAACGCATCCCACCCCCCTTTTTAAGTGAGTACATACACTGCTGAAATGAACAAAGATTTCTAGAATCTGTCACGTATTTTTACCCTGCATTGCCTCTGCTCACTGACAAGTAGGGAAACTCAACGTGTGGAGGACTGCTTTCTCAAACACTCTCCTAAGCTCAACAAAGAGAGTCAGGTTCAATTAGGAGTGACACAGCTATTCGGTTTTGGTAAAACACAGGGAAATAACCATACATACCATTACAATGCATTGATCACTTTCTCTCAAGATATTTATCCAATACCTATGCACTATGAAATTCACTCTGGGAGTTTTGGGTGGATTTACACTTTACATTTTTCTTAATCATCCTATGATTCATTAATGGTGTTTAATAAGAACAATAATTTCTTTTAAAAAGAGAAGTGTTTCAAACATACAGAAAATCATGGAGAAAAATATTGGAAACGTACACATCTACTACTGAGTCTAGTTGGATTTCAACATTACCTTGTAGCTACTTCAGATCACTCTGAGTTCTTTATCCAAAATACAACAAAACACTATGAACAAGTCACAGCTAAAGCCATCTGTGTAACCCTCACTGATCTCTGCCCTCCCTCCTTTTTTACTTCTTCATTCCAGAATTTGATGGGTTTTATTCTAACTCAGGCTTTTTAAAAAAATACATTTACTATGTACTTACTATCCATAAAATTCTTGTTTTCAATTTTTAAGATTTTATATGAATGGCCTCTGATTGTACTTAACCTTCTGCATCCAACTTTTCCCATTCAACCATGATGCTTATGAGGAAACAAACTCCTAAGAATATTTCCCCAGGTGCACCCCAAAGTAGGAGACCCTTGTCACTTACTCTGATTCCCAGGGTTCTTATCCTCAGAATCACGCTCACCGAATTTTATGGTTGGCCTTCTAGGACACATGAAATTTGGCAGGCTGGCCTTGAGGCCTAGAAAGATACAAAATATTTGTTCCTTAGGAGACAGCCTGAAAGGAGGGTGGAATGCTGGGATACACCCCTAACAGTAAAGCTCAGCAGTTGGGAAGGGGATCTGAACCAGGGCCAGCAGGAGAGAAAATGCGTGGGATCCAGGTCTGAGCATCTCTGTGGTCACTCCCAGTCCTTAGCCCTGCACTATAAGAGCAGAACTCCTGAAAGCCGCCTTGGGATTTCTTCCCTCACAAAAGGGAAGTGTAGGCCACTTGCTGCAGTTTGAGAAGAAGCCACGGCATGTAAAGAGGGATGGTCATTTGTTTCCAGCCTTGTCTGGACCCAGAACTTTGTTACCTAGACCAGTCATGGTTTCATAGTTTCTCTTCATATACACGTAGGTGATTTTCTCTGAGTATGCCAGATTTGCCCACTCTTCCTTAGAGAAGTACTTGGAAATATCCTTGAAAGCCTAGAAAAAAAAAAAAAAAGAAAAAGAAATCCCGGCAGCAAATCGGCTACACATGTCTGACGTTCAGCCAGGGACTCTTCCTTGGCTGCAGGACCTCCACATTGGATCTGTAAACTGGAGATAATAACCCTCCTGGTTGATGTCATGGCTAACTGAGAGAACATGAGTAACATTCCCCGGCCTCTCCCCTGGTGTGCAGTAGGTGCTTAATGTGCTCTGCTCACCTTCCAGAATGGACTGAGAGCCACCCAGAGCGGTGCAAGGACACAGATCTTGTATCCAGAGATGCTAGGCAAGGACAGAGTGACAGTGGGAAGCTATGGATCTCCCTCTGACACCCTGCTCCTTTTTTCCCAGTGCTTCTTACCCCACCTTTTCAGACATCTAGTCACCCTACACTGTCCCCTGGGCCACTCCTCTGCCCCCTCCAGATCACCTCACCTTGGATTTCTTCTCTAATTTCTGGGTATCATCAGAGGAGTTCTTTACAAAGGAGCTGCCTCTATTCATGGTGCTGGGATTGGTCTGATCTCGAAGGAACACAACCTGAATCTCTCTGTCCACAAGGTCAAAGGTTCTGTGGGGGGAGAAAGAGCTGAGGGGAGGCCACAGTCAGTTAGTCACCCGGAATTAAAGTTCTACTTTTCTCCGTTCTTGGCTTGTCTGTTCCTGAGGAAGGACACAGAGGGAAGTCAGATGAGAATAGGGGGCTGGAGGTCTCTGGGAGAAGTACTGATTAGGGATGACAGGTTTTCTGTGAGCATTATCAAAGCAACATTGAGTCTTTGAGGGAGGTTGGTTACTGTTCTTAGTAGTTTCCCTAGGGTTTGGCTAGAGTTAAATAAATAAACAAACAAACAAATAAATAAATAACAGAATACTACTCAGTCATGAAAAAGAATGAAATTTTGTCATTTGCTGCATGGATGGACCTGGACTGTTTAATGCTTAGTGAAAAAAATCAGAGGAAGATAAATATCGTATGTTATCACTTACATGTAGAATCTAAAAAATGAAACAAAGAGATGAATATAACAAAAAAGAAACAGATGTACATATATAGAGAAAAACTAATGGTTACCAATGGGGAGAAGAAAGGGGGGAGGGGGAAGTTAGGGGTAGGCGATTAAGTAGCACGAACTAGTATGCATAAAATAAATAAGCAATAAGAATATATTGCACAGCATAGAGAAATATAGCCATTACTTTGTAATAACTTTAAATAGAGTATAATAATAAAAATATTAAATCACGATGTGGTACACCTGAAATTAATACAATATTGTAAATCAACTATACCTCAATTTTTAAAAAGGCTATTTCTAGGTTATTTGAAAATTATTAGAGGGAGGAGAGCTGGAATCTCTGATACTATCGGATTAGCCATCACTCAGGCTGAGAATGTGGGAAGTTTTAGTGAGCAATCTGGTGCTCCCCAAACTGACGGCATTGGGAATCTCCGAGGGAGCGGAGGGTCTGATGCAAAGAACGCCGCTTCTTTATCTCACAGGAAGAAATAAAAAAGTCCCTTAGGCAGAGGCTATATTATATCTGGTTAAGGAGATATAGGGGTATTGGGTTGATTTGGGGGTTTCTCGGGCTGAGGGGAGTTTTCCTTTCCTCAAGAAGAGCAATAGACCGAAGACATTTTTGGTTTTACGACTGCCCGACGGAGATTGCCGAAAGGCTTTATAAAGTCGTCCCTCAGTCCTAACGATCTTGAGGATGTTAGGAAGTACAGAAAATACCCAACCACTTAAGTTATTGACAAAAGCTTCCATTTTCTGCTTTCCTCCCTTAACCTATCCAGAGTGTCCCTGAGAGAGAACCTACCTCGGCGGTGAGCGATGGCGAATGGCCGCTCCACGATGAGATGAAATCCCACAGTTCCGTGGCCCAAGGACAGTAAACCAATCAGAACAGGCAGTGAACTTCATCTGGCCAATCAGAGATCAGGAAAATAGGCACGCGTGGGGAGGAGGGACGCAAGTGAGTGGGTGTCTCAGTCCAGGCTCCACAGGCAGAGGAGGGCCTCTTCAAAATGGGTGGAGACTTCGATTTTTCCGTTTGACGCAAGTTTGTCTTCCACCAGAATTGTCCACTCCAGGTTCCGTAGGCCCGTTTGCACGCATGCTCAGATGTTCCCTTTCCATTCAGCCTACATCTTCTGTCCGGCTGTGTGTTTTTTGCTTTAGTTTTAATAAATGGTATAGCTGAGGCGAGCCGCCATCTCAAATTCTCCGCATCAGTCTCCAACTTACTCAGATATGATGTCTTTCCTAGGGCCCCGTAGGACCTCTCTAATAACTTAAGAATTATTAACTTAAAAAAACCCACAGTTTCGGATATGTGCTTTTTTGATATGTGCTTTTTCTATAAGATCCAATAACCAGAAACATGTTTTACCCCTTCATACTAATATTTACAACTATAGTATTAAAAAGAATGGCCGTGTAATTAGGGCTTGAGGTGTTCCTCAGCAGAGTCAGAAGTCATTTTTTCTAGGAAGTCTTTCCTACTCCCCCCCCCCTGTTCTCCAATAGGTCCCCAGTACACAATCCGTGGGTAGCAGAGCTGGAATTCACCCTCAAGTTGAATTGAGTCCAACGTCTGTGCTTCTAATTACTCTTCGATTTTGTCTCAAATATTTCTTGGCAGGTTGAATGAATGAATGAATGAATCTTAAAGCTACAAAGGATATTTAACATAATTTACATAATCTTCTATAATCACTCATAACTTTATGTGGCTGCTATAACAAATTATCAAAAACTTTGTGGCAGAAAACAACAGAAATTTATGTACGTATGTATGTTTTTAAATGTTTAAATGAAATATCCTGATCTTTATTTCTCACAGTTCTGGAGGCCAGAAGTCTGAATTAGTTTCTCTGAGCTGAAATCAAGGTGTCGGAGGGGCTGCACTCCTTCCAGAGGCTTTAGGAGAGAATCTTTTCCTTGCCTCTTCCAGTTTCTGGTGGCCGCCAGCATTCCCTGGCTTGTGGCTGCATCATTCTAATCTCTGCCTCTGTGGTCATATTGCCTTATTCTCTTCTGTCTGTCAAATCCTCCTCTGCTTCCCTCTGATAAGGACACTTGTGATACATTTAGGGCCCACCCAGATAATCCAGGATAATCTCCCTATCTCAAGATTTTTAATGTAATCACACCTGCAGAGTCTCTTTTGTTGTTGTTAAAAGGTAATACTTATAGGTTCCAGGAACTGGGAAGTGGTTATCTTTTGGAAGGCTGTTATTCCGTCTGCTCTCTGGTTCTCAAAGATTCACGTCCATCCTGCATGTAAAATACACTCACTCCATCGCCAAATCCCCAAATTTGTCAATCCACTGCAGTATCAATCAACTCAAGCCCCAAACCTCATTTAAATATCATTAGCTTAAGAGTACCAAATCTCATCAACTAAGTATCTTAGGTATGGGTGGAACTCTGGGTGTGATCTCTCTTGCAGCAAAATTTGGACTTGGACACTAGAAAACAATTTATCTGTTCCCAAAATACAGTTGTGGGACAGGCATAAGATAGTAACTATAGATAGGAGAAAATGTAAGAAAGGAAGGAGTCACTGGTCCTAAGCAATTTTGAAATCTAGCAGGGCAAATTCCACTGGTTTTCAAGTCCTGGGAATAATCCTCTGTGGCTTGAGGCTCTGCTCTTTGGCCTACACCTCTGCCGTCAGAGTCATTCTTCCTTTCTCTCTTCTTTTTTTAAATTGAAGTATAGTTGATCTACAATGTTGTGTTAGTTTCAGGTTCCTTTCTCTTGAAGTGTGGCATATGTTTGCAATTGAGGAGTTTTATCAGGAGTTTACCTTTTTCATGCCTATAGTATTTTGGGAGTCTGGCAACCTTCTCCAATTTTGTCTTGCCTCTGTATTGTTCAGTTCAATCTGGCAATGTTTCTGATGATATAACATTCTCAAAAGCTGTGTGGGCCTCCCAAGTGTGTCTAGAGATTCATGCCATTAGACCAGAGGGTCCTCCACGTATCTTTCCTATATTATCTCATCTCTATTTCCGGGCATGGCTGAGATGGTTGAAGGGATTCATGAGTCACATATCTAATCTCTTCAGTACCAGCAAACAGAGCCATACTCTTGACTTATTCTCCAGAGCACATCTTCCTGAGAGTGAATCTCTTTACTTAATCTCTTTTGCAACCTAATAGACTGAGAATTCCCCAAATTAAGTCCTGGATCCCTTTGCTTAATAGCCTTTTCCTCAATTTATATTATTCCTTTGACATTTTACTATATGTAGCAAGAATAAATCAGATAATACCTTCAACACTTTGCTTGGAAAGCTGATTAGCTAAATATATAAGTTCACTGCTTGTGAGCTCTGCTGTCCACATAACTATAGGAAACAATTCAGCTAAGTTTTCTGCCAGTATATAACAAGGATTGTCTTTCCTCTAGTTTCCAATAACATGTTCCTTATTTCCTTCAGAGCCCGTATCAACAGCACCTTTAATATTCATATTTCTACCAACATTTTGCTTGTGACAACGTGTGTATCCTCTAAGATGATATAGGTTTTCTCTTCCATGCTTCTTACTTCCTTCTGAGGTCTCATCATAATCACCTTTAAAGTTTTAATTTCTACTGACAGTCTTTTCAATTCAGTCTAGGGCTTTTCCATCAAGCTTCTCAACATTCTTTCAGCTTCTATCCATTATCCATTTCCAAAGTCACTTTCATATTTTTAGATATTTGTGAAAGCAGAATTCAACTTCTAGGTACAAAAATCTATATTAGTTTCTTGTGGCTGCTGTAACAAATTACCACACACTTGTTGACATAAAACGACAGAAATTTATTTTCTAACAGTTCTGGAGGCCATAAATCTGAAATCAGTATTACTGGTCAAAATCAAGGTCTCAGAAGGGCTGTGCTCTATCCATAGGCTCTAAGAAGAATCCATTCTTTGCCTCTTCTAGCTTCTGGTTGCTGTCATCATTCCTTGGCTCCTGGTGGCATTACTCTAATCTTGAAGGCCAGCATCCTCTTATCTCCCTCTGTTCTATCTTCACATTGCCTTCTCCTCTGTATATCTCTTCAAATCTCCCTCTACTTCTTCCTTCCTCCCTCCCTCCCTTTCTTGTTTCTTTCCTTTCCTTTCCTTTCCTCCCTCCCTTTCTTTCATTCTCTCTTTTCTTTCTTTCTTTCTTTCTTTCTTTCTTTCTTTCTTTCTTTCTTTCTTTCTTTCTTTCTTTCTTTCTTTCTTGTGCAGTCTATATTTTCTCTAAAATTTGAGCTAAAGAGAACTCTTCAGAAAAAGAAACCATCTACATGATTGAAAATGGGAAGGTTCTAACTTACACAATGCTATATGTCAATTATATCTCAGTAAAGCTGGCATTTTTTTTAATCCTAAAAAAAGAACTGGAAAAAGAAAATGGGAAGGCACAACTTCATATAGTGACTCTAGGATGCTCAGAGGAAGGAACTAATGGTGGCCAAGGTTAGCCAAGATTTTTCTGAGTTGCCCAGACTCCAGAGTTGTGACTGGTATTTCAAAGAGAAAAGAGATCAGTCAAAAGTTTGAGGCATATAGCACCTGATAATATGTAACACTCCTGTCACCTCAGCTGAGTATGTTGGCTGGAGTTTCTGCTAATGGTGAGGTCATTGCTCTCAATTTCCTAGGCTCTTCTGCCTTCCCTGTGCGCACCTGAGATATGCCCAGACCTCTTGCTCCACGAGGGCAGTGGACTCTTGCAAGTATTCAAGAAGAATGCTCCGCAGATGTGAGCATCTCATGCCATGAGCCAGCTTCACAAGAGAGTTGGGTGTGCAAAGGTTTCCAGAAGGGTCAGCAGAATCAGAGCAGCACAGGCTTTGCAACAGTAGTCAGCCAGAAGGACAATCTTTCAGGGTGGGCCTTCTCCTTGATCTCCTTTCATTATGATGTGGACCCGGTCTGATAAAGCTGTGGCTCTTCCATCAGCTCTACCCCAGCTGGATTCCTAGAAGATCACAGCTGATGTTCCACAGTCACTCAGCTATTTGTTACTTTAGATCCTTGGAGACACCTAGGTCCTCTTGTGGTCACTGAAATACTTGGCACTCAGGGGCTCCAGGCCTTCAGCCAGGGAACAGCACAGTTTGGTCTGCACCCACTCTCACACCAGTTTGACAAAGGGGTGGGAAGAGCCGCCAGAGCAGGCACAGCAGGAATGATTGCTGGACCAGCGCAGAGTGGACTATGCCTGGCTGCACCGCATAGGGGTGGCCTCATGCTTTGGAGCTTTTTGGCCAGCTCCCAAGTAACAAGCACGTTGGCTAGCTTGCTGTGGCAGTATGAAAAACTCCACCTGTAGTACTTCTTACTCTGAAGTCGTGGAAGGGAATCTTGCCAGCATGGTGAGCCACCAGTGACAGGCTCACCAGGAGTGGATTCCTTCAGCAGCTCCAGCAGCGAGCAGGTGAGAAGGAAGTGGCCCAGGTGGTTGGTTCCCAAGTGAGTTTCAAAGCCATCGGTTGTCTTGGGAATATGAACACATCATCACTCCTGTATTGTTGATCAGAATGTGGAGCTGCTTTTCACTGCCAGAAAGCCCTCATTAAAGGCTGGGATGGATTTGGTATTGGATAGGTCCAGTTTCCACACAAGCACCTGGGAGTTCTTTGTATAAGCTCAGGTTTCACTGACGGCCAACTCCCACTTCAGTACGTATCAGCAGGCAATGCCTCTCTGCTGGGGAGCTTTCTGGCAGTCTCCTTGCTGATGCCCGTGATCACCACTACCTTCCCTGGAAGCTTCGCATTCATTCTCCAAACCCCACCAGCAAAGAACTTCTAATGGATGGGGCTATCACAAAGCGAGGAGATGAGCAGTCCTAAGATAACCAGCATATGTTCAACTTCTTTAGTTGCTGCTGCTTTAGCAAAAGCAGCTTCTACTCCAACTCTGGCTCTG